GATAAACAGACACACAGCGGGTGCAGGACTCTGAGCTATGACCAAGAGAGGAGGTGTAATCACTGTGAAATGGAGCTTCAGTCAGAATTAATAGTGCAGATGGGTTAAGACCGTCTGGCTGCATGCTGTCAGCCCTGCCACCAATCGACCTGTCAGGATTAATTGAAGAGTCTTGAGTTTCACAGAGCTCAGATGCACTGTACTCCATTAACTGCTTGATAGAATTCTTTTACCTAATGCCGTGAAATATGTAAAACATTAGTCAGATATGACTGGCGAGACAGGACAAATGGTTAACTGCAAACCATGTTTTCGTTGTGAGTGCTTCAATTCTGTGGATGTTGTGCAGTTTGTCAACCCTGCCCATTACTTTAAAGTGTTAAAATGTGAAGCATTGTGCTCTGCACTGGATGCACAAGGTTGACCTAGCAAAGAGTGTACCAGAATAACCAGAATGCTAATGGCGTTGAATTCACCAACAATATTGGTCCATTGCCCAATCTTGTTTCGATCACAAGATCATGAGAGGTTGATCTCGCCTGCTCACAATACCATTGCAGTATCCAGTCACTTGATAGCCTCTGTAAATAAATACTTCCTGGTGTCTGTCCTAAAACAATCCTGTGTTCTGCTGCCTTGCAACTGAATACGTCAGTTCTGAAAAGATTTTTTGTTGATTTTCCCCCCCACCCATTCCCTACCGATTATACAGTCACTATACTTAACAGTATATCCTGTAAAGCACTTTTAGACATCATCCTGAAATAAAGAGATAATTAAAAGGAAACCTAATAGAGGTGCTTAAAATAATAAAAGGGTTGATAAGGTTAGCATAAATAGATTGTTTCCACTGGTTGGGAAGTCTGTAACCAGAGAACACAAGTATAATATAGCGACTAGGGGATCTTAAAGAGAATTTAGGAGGCACTACATCAGAGAGTAGTGAGATTGTGGATCTTGTTACCTGAAGCAGTGGTTGAATCAGATAGAATAAATTAATTCAAGAAGAAGCTTGACCTTTGCCTCCTCCAGCACCAACTCCAGGTCCGCCGATGATTTATCAGCTTGTCTGGCAGACATCTGGGCCTGGATGAGTGCAAACTTCCTGTTTGCTGAATACTCCTTGGCTCCTGTCAAAGTTTTCACTCCTGATGATCTAAACTCCTCAACCTCCCTGGGCTCACCCTCAGACTCACCGACCCAGTGCACAACCTAGGCGTCCGGTTCGACCCTCAACTGTCCTTCCTCCCCCACATCTGGTCCTTGACCAGGACTACTTTCTTCCACCTCCGCCACATTATCCGTCTCCGACCATACCTTATCCCAAATGCAGCCGAAACCCTTGTGCATGCGTTTGTCACCTCCCGCCTGGATTACTCCAACTTCTCGTCGGTCTTCCCAGCTCCACCATTCATAAGATCCAGCTCATTAAAAACTCTGCTGCCCGCATACTGACCCGGACCAAACTCCGTACCCACATCTCACCAGTTGTGGCCAGGCTCCACTGGTTCCCCATCACCGAATGGATCGACTTCAAGATCCTCACACTCGTGTTCAAATCCATTCACTCCCTGGCACCTCCCTACATCTCCAACCTCCTCACTCCCCAATCCCCACCCGGCACCTCCACTTGATTGGCATCAGCCGCCTGCTTGTCCCTCACACCCTCCGCCCCCTATCTGAGGTCGCCCTTTCAGCCACTACGCCCCAAAACGCTGGAACACTCTCCCTCAATTCCTCCACCTTGCCCCCTCTCTCCCTCTTTCAAGTCCTGCCTGAAAACTTTCCTGTTCAACCGTCCTTATGGCCACCTCCCCCTTCCCCCTGGCTCGGAGTCAGGCTCCACCACTGTTAAGCGCTCTGAGACGCTACCCTGCATAGAGGGCGTTATATAAGTGCATGTTGTTGTAGATCTTCACATGAGGAAGAAGGTAACAAAGGGGTATGTGGGAGGGAGTAAAAAATGGGTGGAAACTCATGTGGAGAAAAACACCAGTGGATTGGTTGGGTCAAGTAGCCTGTTTCTGTGCCGTACATTCTTTGCAAATATTGTGAAAGGTGCTATATCAAATGATTTTTATTTTAACCATATTTTAGAAGATGTTGCTTTCTCCTCTCCCCTCTTTCAAGGTACGTTTCAAAATGCACCTCCTTGACTGCGCTTTTGGTCACCAAAGCTTGAGATTTTTCCAGCTGAGTGAGACAGGTAGACAAAATGCAAACCATGCGTCAGAATGGCATAGAGCACCTCCCACATCTCACAGACAAATATTTCGCAAGCTGCTCAAGATCCGAGTTGCAAACAGCACAAAGCTGTGTGTGGTGCTGAGCAGGTGTGTGCTGTTTCTGTGCCCTTTTGACAGCCCTGTTCACATATTAGAACTGACATTGCTGGCACTCAGCTTATTGTAGTACAGCAAGAGGTTATGCAATCCTCCCTCACTGATGAGCAGGCTTGGCAGAGCAACCTCAGCAGCTTACGTGTGAGCAGAACAACAGGGCATTCCACCTCTGCAACACAATGGATGTGCAGTTACAATGAGAAATAATTGCTTTACATTTCTGCACAGCGGTAGGGGCACATTCATGCTGTCTACACAATGAATGGTGTGGAAGGACTCTGTGCCAAAAGAGCACCAGTGTGCGGTGGATTAATTTTGCTTGCTGCCTCCTTCATAGTACCTACAAACTTTGCATTCCACCTTATGAGTTGACAAGAGGGCGTTGTGATATAGTTCTGATGGTACGATGTGGTATTTCTAAAATATTGTGCCACGTTATATATTTCAGTATAAAGAAGTTTAACAGAGTATTAAATGACTGATGCGTGTTCATTTCTTGAATCACCTTTTGGACTAAATGAAGCTGAATGCTTAAGATGGCTACAGATATTATTGAATCTAGTTGACAAATCCTGAATATTTTATGAACTAAATCCTACAGATAATGATGATAATCCTTGCATTTGGTATAGCGCCTTATCACATCTTCGAGATGTCTCGAAGCCCTTCACAGAATATACTGTAAAGTGAATTGACTGTATATTTGTGGGGGAATCGTGGCAGCCAATTGCGCACAGCCTACAAACAGACGTAAGGGATGGCGGATCAGATAAAGTTGGAAGATAATGTCATATTGATGCCCTTTTAATGGATATGAAGCACATGTCAAATTGCAAGTGTCCACAGATCTCAGAGTGATGCATTGAGCTTTCCAGAGATTTTGCCTCTAAGCTTTTTGTGACCTGCTCTGTTTGGAAATGCCCACATTTCCATTTCCCATTGTATGGTATATCCCTGGTGTGCTTCAACTCTCTATTCAGCTGCTGAGAGTAGGAATGTTTTGACCTGGTCTGAGAAAAGACCTTGAAGTCTTTCAAAACTTCTGCTGGCTTGATCTCCTCTGCTTCATGTCAGCCCAGTTGATCAAACCAAAAAAATCTGGACACCAGGCGATTCTTAATTCTGTGACGCTGAAACATCTCTGGAGGGTTTCTGCATGTTGACACTCGGGCATATTTTCTAATTAGTTAGTCACAATTTCCAAGCCGGCAATCCATCACAGACTATTTGTTGCTACAGTAACAAGGCCTGGCCTGTCTATCAAAAAATGGATAGTTGAGTTTATAAATTATTATGAGTGTTCCATTTTCACACTCCACTTCCATTAACCATCCTCCACTTCCGTCACCCAACATCCATGAATATTTTAGAAGACCTTAATAAAGTAGAATGCAAATCTGCCAGAGATTGAGTAACTGATCAATATTTCCAATTGAGCATCACATCTGTTCTGGATAAATATTCACCAGTCCAGTATTGCCTGTAGTTTCCATTACGCATACGGGGTGACTGATTTCTCTACTCCTCCACCGGTATATGTTTAGGATTTAAAGGCTCCACCCCTGAACTTGTGAGGCCACCTGTTAAATTTGATGAGATACTGTACATTGATCTCCTGCATTCTCTCTAGTCTTTACATCCAAATGTTAAGCCGTTCTCAAATCGGGAGAAGCTCAGTAAGTGAAAGGCAAGGCTTTTGCGAGTCCACAAAAAGAATATGAAATTCTCTGCCACAAACCAGTTGAGGCAGAGTCCGTTCATTCTTTTAATAATTGCCCGTGAAATAACAACAACAACTTGCATAACGGTGCCTCGGAGCACTTAATAGTGGCGGAGTCCGATGCCGAGCCAGGGAAAAGGGGAAGGTGACCATAAGGCAGGGTCGAAGAAATACACAGTTGCTACCCACTGCAGTAAATCCTGTGAAGCGTTTTAAGACGTTTTGTCGATATGCTAAGGCACTATATCAATTGCAACGATTATATTGTAACTGAGTTGATGTTGGATAAGGAATGTTAAAGGCTACGAAGAGTGAGAAAGAAAATGGGATTAGAATAGATGGGAAAAAATGGCAGTTAGACTTGATGAGCTGAATACCCTGTTTCTCTGCTATTATACTCACAGCATTCTATCATTTGATATGCCAAGTTGGTGGGGTGGGGAAGGGTATATGCCTGTCAGGAAAAAAAAAGCATGATGTGCAATTGGGAAAACTCCCAATAATTCTATAGAAAATTTACCCTGCGTTAATCAGGAGCTTCGAGGGGGGAAATTGAACAGGGGAACATACAAAAGTGCGATCAATAGCTTTGAGAAAGTTCATCAGTTCAACAGTTGGGTCGTTTCTAACAGTAATGAGGGAAAACAAAACTTGGAGATTTGCAAGGCTCGTTCTGCAGGTGTCGATCCTGTTGTGATCATTGGGTATTGGAGAGCAGCGCTGTGGAAAGTCCCAAAAGATCCATTTAACTCGGTTCACTAGTATGGTGTCTGTTTGATCCTTCCCCTCGGTGATCTCTTTGGAAAAATAAAATGTAATCACTGGCTACAGCTACACCATTTAAAATTTATTGTGTGAAGGCTGAAATGGAAATGACTTGTGCAAGTATTCCTGACTCTGTACAGAAAGCTGACAATGCATTCTTCTCTCTCCCCCAGGAGCCCACAGTAAAGCATTGGTTGAAGGTAAGTCGTAGAAAAATCTTTATTAAATCTTTACTGTCCCATTGTTGCATTACTGGATTGTTTTAATGCTTTTTTTAAAAATAATGAAATCATGTATTGAATTCCCATAGTAGCTTCATCCCACATCAATCTCATTTAAAGTTTGTATTAGATACCGATTCTGGGGCAACTACACTGTTGGTAGTAACATTCTTCATGTATAATAGTTCTTATGCATGAAGATGTGGATCTTAACTGCTCCAAAAGCAAGGAGTAAGCAGATTCATGGTCAATATTCCATTGATTGCACTGCACTCACATTGCACATTAACATGCCCTGTCTCCAGCCGTTATCACAAAGCCTGCATTTCTAAATTCAAACCTAACAATATATTTACTCCACCGAAAAAAAACCTGCTCCTTCACCTCGTGTCATCTTTACTTTTTCTATTGAGCAATCAAGGTAAAATTCATCATTCACATCATGGCTATTTAAGGGACGTTGCTGCGCGCCAATTGGCTACAGGTTCGTCTTACAAATACACAGTCTTACAAATACACAAAATCACTTTGCAGCAGTTTCCTGTGGAGTGCTTTCCAATCTTGGCATTATAGATGCAATATCAAATGCAAGGGCTTTTTATGTTTGTTGTGCAAACGTCAACCTAACAAAGCCTAACGTGTTGCACCAGTTTGGGTTCTCTCCTAAGTTTGAAATTCTGCTGTTCCAGCAGCCAGAGAGTCTCTCATTTGTAATTCATGGTTGAAATTGCCTGTGACATCATTACCATCTTCATTATAACATACATAATAGGCAATTCCTATTTAAGGTTACCATAAAAGGAGGCGGGGGAGTTAAGGGCTCGTTTAAAGACTGAGTGAGAAGTAAATTGGAAGAGTATATTACAGTTACAGAAATGATTCAGTACATAAATGTTCTGAGCTCAGCCATCTCAGCGAGAACAACTTTGTGGATGCTACAGTTAGTTGGCATTAGCATCTCTAATCTGAGGGTGTGGTGGGGAGAAATGGCTGGGATTTCTAGTCTCATTGTTATCTATTACCATTGTCGAAAGGAGTGTGTGTGGGAGACAGCATGAGTGAGGAGTGTCTCAGATTCAGCTTTGATTGCTGCTGCCAACAATCACTATCAAGCCAAAGGTGCAGGAGAGCTGCCAGCAGTTGTGAAACAACACCTCAACACGATTTACTGTCTCCAGGAGGAAAGAGAGAACGAACATAGGAACAGCAGGAGACTTCTATTCTAAATAAAGATGATGAATTCAGTGTGCAAGGTTCAGCAAGAGAGTGGACAGTGCGCAATGAGTCAAGATCATTACTGAAGGAGCGCATTGTAAAAAGGAGAACTGAGGACTTAGTGAGTCCAGAGAGAAGATCCAGCAAATGTAGTGTGGATAACACATGTCAGTTGCAGTGGAGAAACACAATGGAGAAATATGTAGTCACCATTTTATGTACTGTCCTATATACTATTCCACCACATGTGGTTCCACAAACCATCTTTCTCCAGGTGGTCGAGATTGCAATTAGAGGAGAAACATCAGCAAAAGAGGCCAACATTCTCCTCTAATTTTGCGATCACTGGTGACAGAAAAAAACAGATACACACACACACTGCTTTCCACAGTGGTAATGAGATAACAATGAGACTAGAAACCACAGCCATCCATTATTCAGCCCCTTAATAATAATAATAATCCTTGCATTTGATATGGCGCCTCATCACATCGTTGAGACGCCTCAAAGCACTTCACAGGATATACAGAAAAATAGATTAACTGTATTTTGTGAACAAATTTGAATCCAGTCTGGACTGGATTCAAACTCAGATCTTAGGTGAAAAGTCAGCAAACTTGTGCAAGGAGTTAGGTATGGTTGCTGCCACATTGAACTGTGCAGGTTGATTGTTTCAAAGTAATAGACTTCTCAGGTGAAATTCAGTTCACATCTTTGATGAAGCTTCTCCTCCTTTTATGATCTTATGCCATTTTCAGATTAACCTTGGTGGTAGTGTAAAAAAGGTGTGCATACCGTTGAGTGAAATTGTATACGGTGTTCCGGGGAGGGATGGGGAGTTTGTGGTGGACTAGTGGGAGGTAACAGACATTGAAGTTGGAGGTAAGAGGAATGAACTTTAAAGGTGGACTTCCAGGTTGAAGCTCTACAGGGTGGACAAAGACTCAAAGCTGCGTGTTTTGCAATACTCAAGTTTTGATTTGAGTTGAACGCACTGTCTCCCTCAGCGGAGAGGGATCACGGCCTTACATTTCTGAGCCGGCAGTAATTAGTTCACTTCCTCACCTTTGCTCAAGCAAGGGTATATTTTGTTTGCAATTCAGAAATGACCTTTGAAGTCTCTTCTGTTTGAGGCATCAGATACCCTTTCCATCCATTTTCCTGTTCCGTACTGAAAAAATAGAACTGCTTCATTCGGGATAAAAAGAGTGATGAGCTTCAGAATTGTGTCATACAAAATTAAGTTCAGCACACAGCAGGCCAGCGTGTATCCTGCAGTTATTGTATCAGTTGAATTGAAGGCTCAGAAGACGATGGAATGGAAAGATGCTGGGAGTGATTGAGTTCTGAGGCTAGGAAATTGATGTCACTGCATGAGCAGCTGATAGTCAGGCCCCAACTGACAAGTCGCATTGCTCGTCCTTGAAATCACCTGTGTTGAATTGGTTAGGTTTCCACCGAGAAATGGAAGCACAAACAGAAGGCCTGGCTTTGTTAATCTGCCGAGCTCTAAAACCAGTGAGGCTTTGACTCTCATCCCCCAATTCTGCCTTCTTTTAATGCCTTCTCTGCAAGAACAATATTCATGTTTCAATGGACCAAGTATCGTCAGCAAAATAATCTTTTAAGAAAAAGCTCTTAACTAACACAAAGTTTTCTCTCTGCAGCGCCTGTCTATATGTTTGTTCATGAGATTACTTGTTACTTTCACTTATACATTCACTTTAATTTCTAACTAATATTTGATAAAATGCTTAGAGAGGTTTATTTTTATATTTGAAACATGTCATGGTGTTACCCTGGCACAGTTGGTAGAACTCTCACCTGAGTCAGAAGATTGTATGTTCAAGCCCCACGTCAGGACTTGGAGCTCATAGTCCAAGCTGACACTCCAATGCAGTACTTGCATGCTGTATTTCTGGAGGTGTCATCCTTCAGTTGAGACATTAAACCGAGATCCCTCATTCATAACATCCGGGCTCGACTACGCAAATTCTCTGCTTGTCGGCCTTCCCAACTCCTCCCTCCATAGGCTGCAGATCATCCAGAACTCTGCAGCCCGTGTCCTCTCCCGTACCAGGTTCCGTGACCCCCATCCTGGCCCAACTCCACTGACTTCCCATCACACAGAGGATACAGTTCAAGATCCTGGTTCTCACCTTCAAAGCCCTCTACGGCCTGGTTCCCCCCTAACTCTGTGACCTTCTAAACTCCTACCAACCTGCCTGCTCCCTCCACTCAGCCTTCTGCCACTCTGCCCCTTTGGAACTCCACTTCGCAGTCCCTCCACCTCACCCCCTCCCTTGCGTCTCAAGATCCTCCTCTTCGACCGTGGCTTCGGTCAACTTCCTTTGCCCCCTGCTCTCCACCCTCCCCGATCCCGACCCCCAGCTCAGATCTGGAACACTGATTGTCCAGCACCTTGAGTCGTCCTCTCGACATGAAAGGACCTATACAAATGTCATTTTGTTGTTGTCCCATCTGCCTGTTCAGGGGGATGTTAAAGATCCTATGGTACTATGCAAAAAGACAATCGAGCTTCTCCGAGTGTTTTGGCCAGCAATTCCCACAAGTAAAAATAGGTAATTTGTGGCTCATTGTAGAACATTTCTGTGCGCCAAATTGACTACCACGTTTCCCCACTGAACACACACAGTCGCTCCACTTCACATTATATCGTGTGAGGGCGCACGTTTGGTAAATTTCTAGTAGACGTTTTTATGAGTTGCTCCGTTATGCTTCTAGTACCAATCAAGTTTTTAATGGCATTCAGTCTGGAGAGGGGTAGAATGAGCTAGAAGTGTATTTTCTAATGTTCTTGTTATGTTAAAGCACAAGACAAAAAGCAATATTAATCAAAGGGAAAAACTGACATGAATGTTTCCAATATATAATCCATAAATAAAGGCTGCTAATCTCATATGTGAGAATTGAGGTGTATTCATAGATCCAGAGGACAGGTCACTTGTTCACCCTCTTGTCACCGAAGAGCAGATGACGTGGATAGATGGAGGGGAGGAGAGGAAATGTGCCGGAGCAGAAAAGACTTGAAGAAATTTAGCTTGACCTTGTCCGACCTCTAGGTAGTGATAAATAAATAATCCTACCAATCAATTTCTTTGCCAAATAGCTATCTCATTGCTCTCTTGGATTTGCTGACACAATCTCAGGCTAGGCCTTTTCTTTAACATTTTGCAAATGGAACTGGTGAACTTTTGACAAAAATTCTCGAAGGGAGTAAATGAGATGAATGTTTTCAAAACGTATACATACGAAAAATCTATTCTCATTTTCCTAAAGGCTTGGGAATTACAAATGGATGGCATTTACTTGGCTAAATTTTTGATCAAAACCAAACACACCTCCCGGCTCCTGAATTCCTAATGTCACTTTCTTCTTAAAACAAAATGAAGGCTTTTAATCTGCAGCCCTGTGTGTGTGCCAGAAGGAAGATATTTCTAAAATATTAGATTGAATAACGCAGTCTATTTAAGAACTTTCTCCTTTCATCTCTGCGACCTTGGTTCAAATCCAGCCCTAGCCTATCTTCTTTTCCAGGTGTCAGGGTTCCAGTTTTAATACAGTAACACTTGCATAAGTCTTATCTTTAAAAATCCTATAATCGTCTAAGTCGTACATTCACCTGAGTCATAGAATTATAGAATATTACAGCATAGAAGGAGGCCATTTGGCCCATCGTGCCTGTGCATGCTCTTTAGAAGAGTACCCAATCAGTCCCACTCCCCTGCCCTTTCCTTGCAATT